ATATAGTCCATGGAATTCTCCAGGCCAGAATACTGGAGTGGGCGGCCTTTCCCTTCTCCAGGGGATCTTCCCAACCCAGGAATCAGACCAAAGTCTCCTGCATTGCAAATGGATTCTTCACCAACTGAGCTATTAGGGAAGCCGTTATTTCCTTTATATTTTCCAGAAATTCATCACTGTTTTACCATTCTCAAGTATGCAATGCTGCTACAGATATATTTATATTTGTTCCCAAATTTCTTGTGATGTATCACTGCAATTTTGAAAACAAGGAGAAGAAATATATGTATCTGAGCTTCTATTTATGAAAATTATGTTAAAGTCTCTTATTTAAACATTTAAAATTCACATTTTAAAGATCTACTTAATGATGAATCCATTGCACCTTCGTTTTTATTTTTATTATTTATTCATTTTTAATTGGAGTACCATTGCTTTCCAGTGTCACGTTAGTTTCTGCTGTAAAACGACGTGACTCAGCTACGAGTACACACTGGTCCCCTCCCTCCGGGGTCTCCCTCCCTCCATTCCCACCTCGTCCCCCAGGTCGCCGCAGCCCGCCGGGCTGAGCTCCCTGAATCCCACGGCAGCTTCCCCTTAGCGACCTGTTTACGCGAGGCAACGCGCTGCTCTCTCAACTTGCCCCACCCCTAGTGAGCCTGCTCACACACACACACACTCACACTCACACACACACACACACACACACACACACACTCACACTCACACCACTGATTCGTGTTCTCGAGAAACACAAACAGATGTAGCCTGGGGTGGAGCTTTAGAAACTACGAAGCCAGTTATGGGATTGACCTCCAAACGCAAGACAACTTTTTCAAGAAAGTGAAATTCATGCCTGAAAGCATCCCATCTCCAGTCCTACTAACACTGTTACCGTGCAGCAAACTGCTTTTAGAGGAAATATAAATGAAATAGAACGGAAGTGGCAAAACATACTTTCAAGCCTAGAGAAGCAGGAAAATGCTTATTTTTCAACGATTGGGGGTAGAGAAACACTGTGACGGGAAGAAGTCGCTGTTGAATGCGGTTATTGACAGAAAGAGGCGAAAGGTGAGGACAGAAGAGGGGGTGCACCCCTGCTAAATGAAGTTCAGATGGGCCCAAAATCACTCTGCACCCCCAGTTTATACCACCACCCCTACCAGCTCCCAATTCTTGCAATTCTTCTAACATCCCCAAATACACACCCCACACAGACACAGAATCACAAGTGAAATCTCTTCTATCTCAAATAAACCCTGTTCTCAAGCTAAATGGCGTGGATTTAATTCATCCGTTTCTCTCTTCAAGTTTCCCTTGGTGGTCATTTCATCTATTTTCTCATATAAACAGAGGTCATGAAGAGCTTGAGTACACTTTTCTTGGGCACAGTGTCAGGGTTTCCAGACAGGGATTAGCCTAGATTATTAACCTCGGCTTATAAAACGTCCTCATTAGCCCAATAAAGAAGGGTTTCTTCAGGACACAGATTGGATAAAGAGATCTCTGTATTGAAAAAGATGGTTTCCTTCAATGGAGTTATCAAGTCCAGGTCAAGCAAGCAGCTTGTTAACTAGAAATCTAACCCTTTTGGAATAATCAATGTGTTTTTTCTCTCTTTTTTAAAGTTTTTCAATAGAGATTCTTATTAGAATATTTTATTAGAACAAACCCTTAAAAAGGTTCTAAAACATTAAATAACATTTATTTCTTAAAAGTTAACGTGTGCCTAACAGGAAACCAAAAACACAAGAAGCAAAAAGCACGTTAGCCATCATAACAAGCAGTTTACCTCTGATGCGTCCTTCTGGGTCTCGTTTATGTATTTACACAAGTAAGCATCCATTTTCACATAATTAGGATCACATCGTTCTGTATCATGCTTTTTCACACATCATGAATATTCACCTTTTCAAAGTCCCAAAGCTATGAATATTTTGATAACCAAGAATACACTACCACTAACTCAAGCTAGAAGGAAAAAAACCATGCCTTTCTTGGCAAGAAAAATTTCAAAAACAAACAAAAAATGGCAACAGGCCTGTAATTAAAGATGTTGGCAGAGTTATGACTAAAATGCGACATTCCCTTCATATTCAAGTAAAAAATGAGACAGAAAGCAACAGAGTACACAAGGCATAATGCTTCTAAGAGGATTAACCTTCTGATCTGAACTATTAAAGTGTTGGCAAGGGGGTATGTTTCCATTGAATTAATTAACAATGTATCCCTATTTTTAGGGAGACAAAAAATCAGTAACCAAAGCCAGAGACCTAGTCAAAATTTGGATATGGTCCAATTAGCGTTTGTCACTTTTTCCCATATTTTTATCCCTCAGAGATAAAAAGAAACTTAGAAGACTAAAGTAAGAACAAAATAACTTACCACCTAATGTTGGTCAATTTAGCATCAGCATTTTTTTACTGCCTCCCCTTGGCTGAACCTTCTAAAGGACACGGTCGATAAGAGAAGTGTGAACAAAGCAGTGTTCCTATTGCCACGTTGCAGTATGTCATCCACCAAAGTAGATGCAGCGGTGTTAAGAAAGCAGTGCTCATTATTAAATGAAAGGGAACGCTATGAACCCACAAAGATACTGGCAAATTCTAATACGTTTATTGACATTTGACATTCTACAAAAGCATGAATGGTACTTGGAGATCAAAAGATGAGACAAACTTATATGTCAATGAAACCTTTAACACACAGCGACATGTATATATATATATCTTAAGACACGAGGAATCAGAAAACTCTATGAAGCTATTTTAATTAACTAACAATGTTTCAAGAGAGGGAAGCTCTTTGTAACCTGAAAATCTACTGACACTTTAAACCTCATCTAGGGTAATCAATGGAAAGAGAAGAGAGAATTGATCAGTAAAAGCTAAAAAGTACAATTTTATTTAGCTTCTTTGTTAAATAAAAGAAAATTTAATGCTAAGGGGATAGATAAGGGCGATGACGCTCACAATTTATGTACCACAAAACAATGAGCACCAAAAGGGTCCAGAACACTGTAGACAAAACTGAATTATTCAATAGCAGTTTCAGCCCAATAAAACTAGACAACCAGGCTTAATAAAATAACTCGAATATGACAAAGACGGTGTTTATAAAATAAAGCTGCCACAATCGGTCAGCTTATTACTCAATCACTCAACGAGCATTAGCAAGGGTTTAATCACGGTGAGCCCTGAGACTGAACGACAGTAGCTGACCATAGATGCTTTTAACACCCTGACAGTTGTGCCCTTTGCAATATGTATTCCAAACTGCTCTTGTGAATCAAAGAAGCATTTTTATGCTGATGTTCGAATTCCTGTCTTCTGATAAAACTCCTCAGGATGCTTCATTTTAACTTTTCATTTTATGCTTCATGATGATGTTAAGGCTTTTCCACTATAGAATATATCACATAGTTGGAAAGCCAAATGACAAATGTGAGCAAAACCTTATCATAAGCTAGAAATCTCAACCCCTTAATTAATTTCTTTATGGTAATTAAAAATATGCAGTCATAAAAAGGCAATCATCTATAAACACTATGATACTATAATGATGTAATATTGAATATATAATATTGCTTATTCATATTTACTTTCATACCTGGTAGAATGGTGACAGAAAGATTAGAAGTAATTACCTTTGTGGGATTCTTGATGATTTTTGTTTTATTTTTGTACATTTATGAACAGCTCAGACAGGACATTATCAGAAAATAATCATTATTTGCAAAACATACATTCCTCATAAGTATAAAATCAAAGACCTTTTCTAAATAGAAAGTAAGGCATGCATGCAGCTTGTATTGGGATTTCTTTGGTTTATAACTTTCATGAAAGTGTGAAGAATGCAATCTCTGAAATAAGTTAAACTCTAGATATTTAAGCAATTTTTAATTATATAATACCCTCCTGCCACTTCTGTATCTCACCTCATCTTCAAAAAGTGTGCAAATGTAAACATAAATGTACTTCTAGAATAACAGAAAGTAAGTAGTAATAAATTACACTGCACAAAAAGTCCTCTGTAGTTATGTTAGTGAAGAAAATTTAAGGAAACATCAGTTTTCCTGTAATAAGTTAAGTGCTTTAAAAATGACATAAACTCAATCCCATAAGAAAATACCAAATATCTGGCATAATTTTGTTGACAGTAGAATGTAAGTCTACAGTGGAGATGAGTGTATTGTGATAATGTAAATATGCCAAACTTACCAAACAGAGCTATTTGGCAAGTCTCTCTGTCCCTTTGATCTCCCTGGCTAACATATTTGTAAAACAGATGTAATAACAATTGCTTTGCAGAAAGACTGATTGGATGCAATAGACGATGTGTATAAAATAAGTGGGACAATAATAAATACTAGTTCACTTTTTGTTGTTCCCTCGGCATTGTTGATAACAAAGCTTAAATGCAGGCTTAAATGGAAAATACACGTGGGGGGAAGTATTAAACGCTGTTGCTTCTGCACAGTGAAGCATATTACGCATATTACTTACGAATACAAGGGAAGCACTGGTGATGTCTTAGGTGAATTCCCAGGAGGCAGGCTCCTCGTGGGCAAGCATGGATTAGTGATCAGGAAGTGAGAGGCAGGAGGGAAGCGGCCCTGGGGAAGGCGGGCTGGACTTAGAATCGCAGCCATGTTATCAGTAAATCTGAAGCTGGAATGGCCTTTTGAGCCAAGAAGTTGGGAGGTTTTGCTCCCAGGAAGGAACAAATTCAAAAGAGCCCCCTTCACCTGAAGGCGGTGCTTGGGGAGGGACCTGGGGACTCAGGACAACATACAGGCATGAGTGGACACGTGTCCTTGGTAACGCAACTCCCGTCAAGACGGCAGCAACTGTCAGAAAGTGAAGTCAGGTCTCACCTGTGGGACCAGGGGCTCCTACCTAACCAGCACATGTGGTATATCTTTTCACTGCAACCTTCAGAAGGTCATTTTAGGTAATAAGTCAGATGACATGAGAAATGTCACATCTTGCTCAGAAATACAGAAACCATATTTTAGATAGGGTGATGACCCTCTTATTCATTCTAGGATATATTAGAATACTCTTATAGGCATGTAACTATACAATGTTCTACAGTCATTCAGAACCAGTGTTACTAATTTTTTCCAGTTAGACAACCTCAAATAGATAACAAAGCTAGACCCATGTCTCAGTGGACATTAACTTGAGCAAACTCCAGGAGAATGTGGAAGACAGACGAGCCTGGCATGCTGCAGTCCGTGGGGTCACAAAGAGTCAGACATGACTTAGCAACTTAACAATCGCAACTATTATTTATTTGCATCTCTAAAAGTAAGCTATGGATAAGGTTGAATGCATCCAGGCAAATATTCCCAATATCTTACTGCTTTTTTGGCACTCCCACACTGACTTCAAGTTTGAAATCTGAAATGAGATGATTTTATAAAGATGGAAGAAGTTCACAGCAGCCATTCCATGTATGTGCATCTTCAAGGAGAAGGCTATTTCCTTCTAGTCCCATTTCTTTCTCTGGATAAACTAAAGATGATAATGCTCAACTAAAAATTTACATGATCCATTATTCCTGAGAATTCCTAATACTAGCTTGGTCACTCTGTGAGTAAAGTAAGGACAATTAATCACATGACGCTCAGAACTGGGCTCCCTCCTTATTCCCAAAAGGTCAAAAAAGTACATTTCTAGTGTGGAAAGACAGAGGGACATATAAAAGAAATAATATGTTCCTATAGCAATGTAAAATAACAACTTAATTTGAGAGTTGATTGCCTGTAGTTAGATCCACCTGTAGTTAAATCCACCTGTCAGAGGTGAGGGCTCCTCCGACGTATGATTTCAAATCAAACTGAGATAACCCAAACCAAGGGCTCCCATTAATTCATAATCATTTTCACAACTTTTACTAATTTGATGCTAAAAAAAGAAACTTTGGAAAATAATATGCAAAGAAAATGTAGCAATGAAATTTGTTAAGCACCATATTGATCATTGCATTGTTGGGAATATGATAGAATCATAACATAAATTTAATTTTTCTATATTCCCTTAAAATAATTTTTCTCCTTCAATAAATAAAATCACCATTTCTACAGCATATTCATTTTGGGGAGACAGTATACTATAGGATGCAGCTACGGAGTGAATAAGACTGGAATTTGACTCCTAGTTTGACCACTTAAGAGTTGGGTGACCTTTAGTACAGGATTCAATTAACATTATCCCCAATTTCCACATCTGTAAGAGGGTGATAATGGAAATATCTCTCTGGGCGTAAAGAAAAACAAATGAGAAAATGTACACAAAGTCTTTAGTACAATGCTAGTCCATTATATGTGGGCTGATGTAATTATTTTAAAATATTTGATTTGAGGAACTCAGTCCTATGACTTGAAAGTTGTTGACCATCCTAAATTTCATCTGAGATTAGCTATGACTTGAGTTTCTAAACTCTTGAGTTTCTTTCTATGATGCAACTTATTACTTCTCCAAAGAGGATTGTAAATACCAAGGTAAGTGAAGTAAAACACTGAAGCTGACACCATGACCACCAGTGAAATCCAGCAGGACCCCTGTGGGTCTCCTGGGCACAAAAGCTTGCATTTCTTGATTATAGGAAACAGGCTTCATTTAGCCTCCAAGACCTTCCCAGAGCAGCAGGTCCAAACATTTGCTAATTAGGGAAGGGAGGGGATGCAGAGACAAGAGGAGCCTCAAGAAATAACAGTGCAGCCTTGGGGCAGGGCCCTTGTTCTCCTTCGAGGGATACACGTAACAGTATCTCTGAGCTGCTGTGAAGATCCTGAAACCCCCAGCAGCGGGGAAAAGTTAACCCAGAAGCACACAGACCTCACACCAGCTGGGACATGAAGGTTGATGATGCCGATTCCCATTTAGCTCACCACTGACCCATCAGACGAAGGTCCACGAGCCCATCACACTCTCTCTGGACCAGTACTGTGAACTCCCCACTATCCCCTCCAAGTTCCCACACACAGTTCTGAGGTCATTAGCCCACTGCGGTCCCCTCTGCCTGGAAAGCAATAAAGCTGTTCTAACTTCACCCAAAACTCTGTCTCTGCAATTTAATTCAAGGTCAGTGGACACAGACCTGGATTGGGCTTCACACCAACACCAACTGAACAAAAAGCAAGTTGAAACGGAATCATGCACTTCACATGATTTCACTTTAATGGTAATATAGGGAAAAGATTGTCCTTAGGCGATTCAAAATGGAGGTCATGAAATCTGTATTTCTAAATATGACTTAGTAAGTCCATGGCCTCACTAGCTCATCTTGGAGCTATGAAATTGATTAATTCTTATTTACTTTGCAATGATTATTTTTTTTAATATTTCTTTGACCAGTAAGATCCATAATTAACCTTTTGTCATACAAAAGAAAGAGAAACACACAGTCCTATTAGAATATTCCAGCTCATTCATACTAAAAATACAAAGGAAGGTAGAAATACTTTCCATTTAAAAAAATACTGTTTTTTTTTTCTTCTCATTTCAGTGGCCTTGAAGCAAACTACTGTCAACCACAAGTTGGCATTTACCATGGGTGCCCACCATCTACTTCTACAAGGATGAAATCTCTGCTGTAGCTGCTGACCTCCAACACCCCAGGACGGCGTTCAGGGTGGAGCGCAGAGATGAGGCCCTCTATGCTCCTAGAAAACTGGCAGAACAGGTCTTCAGGCAGCTAGATATTCTCAGGAGCTGATTCTAGGAGCCCAGTTACTGTATCTCCTTATGTCTAGAAAGGCACCAAAACCTTTCATGGTGACGACTGTTTCTCCTGACTTGCAGAAGCTTCATGAGACAAGCGGAAACATTCTACAAAGAAGTATGCATTTGACTGCATATACTCCCCCTTCACCAAAATCACATACACACCATCTTTCCCCCACCTCACTGGAGAAGTTTCTCGGAGCTACTGAGTTGCTGTCTCTCAGGCTGAGTCCTCATATTGCCCCAAATAAAACTTAAGTCGCAACTGTCACATTGTGCAATTATTTTAGTCAACTCTACAAAATTATGTTTGCCTTCAATATCAAATATTACAACAAATCAAAATCCAGTCTCATATTTAAAGGTTAATAAAACTGAGATAAAACATATCTTATCAATGAAACATCCAATCAGACCACAATACTGTTAACTCTTTGGCGTTACTGTTAGTTTAGCCCCCCTAAGTCCTGTTGCAGGATTCTACCCTTCCTTCCCTCATCTGTCCCTGCTTTTATTAATGATCTTCCATTTGTTTCAAAAATACATATGCGCTCTTTCTAAAATCTGCTTACTCCTAAATTCAGCTTATACTTTTAAAAGTAGTCTAAAGTGATTAAGCAAACCATGAATTTTCACTAGCAAATTTAAGGAATCTGTACATACTAAAAGATCACATTTTATTGGTTAAAACTTCAACATGAAAAGTATGTATTTTTTAAAACAAATTGCAATCTTACTAACCAAATGAGGCCCCAACATGCATAAAACAAACATAAAAACAATTGTTTTATATAAAATATAGAAGGATGTTAATTTTCAAATAATTAAAGCCAAATATCAACAAAATCTAATGTCAACTTTTTCTAATTATCGTAAATGTCCTGGTAGGTCACAATCCCAATCATAATACATTTACACATAGACAACAACAGAATTTCCCCTTGTCCCTCAAAGAGCTGTGAGAAATTCTTTCAACATACTATGCTGATAAACCTTTTATTTACTGTTTTCCTGGTTTTAAAAATAGAGCTTAGTCTATTCTTTCATTTCCACATCTGCAGGGACATAAAGAACTTGATGATATAAAATTGAAAATATAGCTTCAGAAACACTTACCATTGTTGTTTTTCACCATCCCGTTGCTGAGTTGCTTTAACCTCTTTTGATGTGATTTGCCGTTGTAGTGGATTTGGGCTTGAGCAGTCGAATTCAGCTGAATGTTACACACGTTGCACAAAGTGAAATTGGTTTGTTTCTTTTCTTTTTCTGGTTTCTCTTCAAAGCCATCGGGTGAAAACTCAGCCTCACACTCTCCATCTTGGACACATGTGGAATCTAGGGTACAAAGAAAGCTATGAACAAGCCAATCAAGGTTCCTGGATTCCTATGAACATTAGGTTATTTGCATTCTTTTTTTTTAATTAGAGTTTTCATCTTTTCTGGATATATGTCCAGGAGTAGAATTGTTGGATCATATGATAGTGCTATTTTTTAAATTAATTTATTTTTTATTGAATGATAATTGCTTTACAGAATTTTGCTGTTTTCTGTCAAGCCTCAACATGAATCAGCCATAGGTGTACATACATCCCCTCCCTTCTGGAGCTCCCTCCCATCTCCCTCCCCATCCCACCCCTCTAGGTTGATTCAGAGGCCCTGTTTGCATTTCCTGAGCCTCACAGCAAATTCCCATTAAAGAAACTTCTATACTGTTCTCCACTAGTGAGTGAAGTTGCTCAGTCGTGTCCAACTCTTTGCGACCCCGTGGACTGTAGCCTAGCAGGTTCCCCCGTCCATGGGATTCTCCAGGCAAGAATACTGGAGTGCGTTGCCATTTCCTTCTCCAGGGGATCTTCCCAACCCAGGGATCAAACTTGAGTCTCCCGCATTGCAGGCAGACGCTTTAACCTCTGAGCCACCAGGGAAGCCCACTCGGGCTGCATTAATTTACAGTTCCAACAGTGTAGGAGCATTATTTACAATTGTCAAGACATGGAAACAGTGAAAATATCCATCAAGAATGAATAAATACATACATGTATGTATTTACACTGTATACATACAGTGTATATACTACTCAGCCATAAAACGCAATGAAATGCTGCCGTTTGCAGCAACATGGATGGATCCAGAGATGACCATACTAAGTGAAGGAAGGTGAGAAAGACAAAAATCATATAACTTATATGTGAAAGCTAAAAAAAATATGATACAAACAAACTCACTTACAAGATAGAAATGCACTCACAGACATAGAAAACAATCTCATGGTTATCAAAGGGGAAATGTGAAAGGGATAAATTAGGAGATTGGAATGAACAGATATACACACCACTGTATATAAAATAGATAAACCACAAGGCCCTACTGTATAATGCAGGGAACGAAATTCAATGTTTTGTAATAATCTATAACAAAAGAGAACCTGAAAAAGGACATATATGTGTGTGTGTGTGTGTGTGTGTATTATGTAACTAAATTACTTTTCTGTACAACTAAAACTAACACAACATTGTAAATCAACTGTACTTCAATAAAAAAAATCAATAAAACATTAAAAATAATAAAATAATTCTTCGATTCCTTCATATTACTAAATTCAGTAGCAAATAACCATTGTGCTAGACACTTCCTTGGTGATTCAGATGGTAAAAATCTGTCTGCAATGTGGGAAACCAGGGTTGGATCTCTGGGTTGGGAAGGTCTCCTGGAGAAGGGAACGGCAACGCACTGCAGTATTCCTGCCTGGAGAATCCCATGGACAGAGGAGACTGGTTGGCTACAGTCCATGGGGTCACAGAGAGTCAGACATGACCGAGGGACTAACACACACAGAGACACTTACAATTCAAAATTTCCACTTCTTCCCATTTTAGTAGGTTGCTTTCAGACTGTACATTATATCTTTATATTTTTCATGGTATGCAAATTGAGGTAGGAGGTAGGTGAGCACCCCCCACCACCAGGTAAAGCAATTGGAGATTCATTCCCTGTGGACGGAAACTCCAAAACTAGAATAGCAAGACAATTAAGGGAGGAGGCTGGGCCCTGCGCAGTCCACGGAGTCCTCATTTCCAAAGTCAGGAGTCTTCCCTGACCACACATGTGCAGAAAAGACTCCTTGCAGGCCGAAGGGGAGTTACGCCAAGGGCTGTTCCTTCCCCAGACACCTTTTCTCTTGGCTAAGAGAGGCGTGTGCACACAGGTAAGGATCCTGAGACACACCACACGGACTCTGAGCCGGGCACATAAAAACGACTGGCCAACGGAAACCCGGAAAGGAGAAGTAATTCAAGCAGCCTTTAGGGCACAACTACCCGTGAGTGTATCCACATGTGTGGTTCTCTTCTGCTACTAAACACTTCACTTGCTTCACTACTTTCCATCTTTGTGGGAATTCTTCTCTGCAAAGCTGAAGGGCCAGGGCCCTTGTCACTGACTACAGGTCTAGTAGCTAGGACCTGGGGCTTTCAACTGCTGTGAACCAGACCAGTCTCTGGCTGGGAACCCAAGCCCTGCTCCAAGCCATTGCAGGCGGAGGCCACTGGAGATCAAAATGGCAAGGGTTTCACTTTGCTTTTGCCAGGCCAAATACCAAGCTAAATGTCATTTTAAATGACAAACATCATAAGAACGGAAAAGGAAACAATGAAGAACTATAGTCTTTCCTGTTTCAAACTGAGGAAGCTGAGTTTACAGTGCATAAAGAATTCACCTAGGGTCACGCACCTAAAAATGGTACCGTTGGGATCACCATTCAATTTTATTTATCTCCATATCACAAGCTCTTACTTACCATGCGCTTTAGTAAGTCCTAATGTAGCCAGGAAGGGTTAATTTTGATTTCATGCTAAATCTGTCTCTTTGACTTGAACCCCTGTGGTTGCTGCTTTTGTTAGTATAATCACACATAATGGCCTGCCCTAGAGAAGCCTGCCTAATCCTTAAACTAAAGTGCCGTTGTTTAGCTCACAGGGCTGAAATCACTGATGGCTGTGCCATCCTTGATTGCTTGTGTAGGGAGTGTGGTTTGTCAGCATGGCTCAGAAACTGATGTTTGGAGGGATGGAATCAAAGATAACTGAGACATGCTTGTTTATTGATATGGCAGTAGACATTCCATTTCACACCACCTGTGAAATGACTGTAAGAAAAAGAAAGTAACACATCTACCTGCCTGAGGCTTGCCATTCTAGGAAATGCTTGCAAGAATTAAATGGTCTTTTTTACTTTGCTCCCTCACCTCCCCCATCTCTGATACATAAAAGAAACTGGCATCCAGGCCCCGACAAGATGGTTATTTTGAGATGTTAGTCTGCCATCTTCTCAGTCAGCAGGCTTTCCAGTAAAGCTATATTTTTTGCCTCAACATTCCATCTTGAGGATTCACTGTCCTGTCCTGTGGTGAACAGAGTGAGCTTGGACTTGGTAAAGGGGGTGTTTCACCTTTCACAGCTGCTGAAACAAATAATAAATGCTACTTTCACTTTTCATCTTTTATTTTGTAAAATCAAAATTCATCTTCAAATTTCTTTCAGTAAGCAAAATCAAGTAATAAAATAATGTATGCCTTCCTAAAAGAAATGTCGTATAAAGCAAGCAAACTTTCCAAAAGAGAGGGTACCTGTATTAGCTTCCCTACCTCTCAAATTTATGGTGGGAATTAAAGAAAAGGGAGCTTGCATGATAGGGAAAAGGAACTATTTGCTCCATTAAAGGATACATTGTTTTTCAATTGCTAAGTCGTGTCTGAACTTTTGTAACCCCACTAACTGCAGCATATCAGGCTTCCCTGTCCATCGCCAACTCCCGGAGTTTACTCAAACTCATATCCATTGAGTCAGTGATGACATCCAACCGTCACATCCCCTGTCGTCCCCTTCTCCTCCCACCTTCAATCTTTCCCAGCATCAGGGTCTTTTCCATTGAGTCAGTTCTTCGCATCAGGTGGCCAAAGTATTGGAGCTTCAGCTTCAACATCAGTCCTTCCAATGAATATTCAGGGTTGATTTCCTTTAGGATGGACTGGTTTGATCTCCTTGCAGTCCAAGGGATTCTCAAGAGTCTTCACCAGCACCACAGCTCAAAAGCATCAATTCTTTGGTGCTCAGCCTTCTTATGGTCCAATCTCACATCCATGAATGACTACTGGTAAAACCATAGCTAAGACTATCTGGACCCTTGTCGGCAAAGTATGTCTCTGCATTTTTATAGGCAGTCTAGGTTTTTCATAGCTTTTCTTCCAAGGGGCAA